TTGGTGTCTGTGTGAGACAGAGGGCAAGGATGAGTTTGCAGAGAAAGGTATCACTGAATGCCACAAAGCTTCAGTTGTGTTAAGGTCAGTAATCTTAGAGGAGCTTCTAGCAGCCCCTGGCTCCCAGATGATGGTGGTCCAAGGCTATGAGAGTCCCAACAGCCTATTGCTGTGTGAAGTCTCAGAGAAATTAAAGCAGCAGGAGCAGAGCTGCTCAGGCTGGAACAACTGAGGAAACGGCACCTCAGTACACACCAGTTACCTGGGAATCCCAGGATGGGAGCAGAGGGAGTTTACTGTGGTGGCTTTCACGAGCTGATCTATGATTCAGGGCTGGTTGAGTGTGTGAGCATTGGGCTATAACCATTCCCTAAGTTACTGAGAGGAAATCTATAATACGAGCCGTACTTGGCTTCCCGCCGTGCTTTCATGATGCAGGCTGCAGCGGGGACTTGCTGTGCTTAAGGTGCTATGAATTGGATCCAAGCATGATTTAAGGCAATTTTCTTCTAATTTACAGTCAGGCAATGGAATAGATCTGTCTTCTGAGAATCAAAAATATTAATAACTCCCTTAGACACAATTTGGAAGCAAATGAATACCTCCATTTTTTGGTGAATTTGATAGCGTTATTTTACTGTATGGAGATGAGCTCCATTAGCAGAACACATGAATTAAAACAGAAGCAGCTTATTTGCATTGTGGTTAACCGTTCTTGAGACAAGAAAGCTCATCTAGTTTTGTATATGTGGCAACGAAGATTATAAACAGTGCAATGGGGCTTAATCTTTGGGTTTTATGTTTCTACAAAATGACTTTTATACAGAAACATTTTCTTCTTACCTACAGCTGAAATTTGTCACCATGGTAACCTTCTGAGTTTGGAGAGGTGGGATGCTCTAGGCAAATATGTGGCCATAACCTCAGAAATTGTTACCCAAATTGGGTTTCATTTCTCTTCTCTGTCTTTAACATCTGTGAGATTCTTACACACGGGACAGCTGGTCATGTAACTGGATCAGAGAGAGGCCATATGCATTTAAACTCTGTTTTCTTTCTTTGAAAGCAGCAGTCTTTGGGGCAATTTCCTCCCTTATTCAACTGGCTCCATCCTTCCCTGGCTGCAGCTTCAAGCCTGTTTGGCTCTGCAGGAACTGCTGGACCGTGCTCTGCTCTGATGTCTGCAGCATCACCCACTGATGATGGGGAAAAGCAGAAATCCTGAACTGGGGCCTCAGCAGCTCAGCACTGGGGAGCATACTGTTCATTTATTGGTCTCAATATACACACAGTTCTGTTTTATTTTCTTTGATGTACATGTCTAAGAGCAACTTGAGGCCTTAAACAGTTGAGGTTTTTTAGTGGTTTTTTGGTTGTCTTTTTGTGTGTGTGTGTGTGTGTGTGTGTGTGTGGTTTTTCTGTTTGGTTGTGGTTTTTGTATTTTGAAGAGAAAATCCCCTCACACAAATGTGATTAAGGTTTCTAAAAATGAAATTATTAAAGCCTTAGAGAACCCTTGACCACAATATTGTGTCAATGCAATATTATTTGAAGGACATGCCATCATCTTGATAATTTAACTTCTAATTTTAATTTTCCATTTATATGTCAAATTCCTATGCATTGCTTACCCATGTCCTCTTTCTGGGTTTTAGGTTGTAATAAAATGGAGGAGTTTATGATTAAAACCCTGAAAAAAGGCTGTGCAGACTGAAGTTACCATTAGTCAACTACTACTGACTCTGCCACTAACTCCAGAGATAACCATGACTGAGTCATTGCATGTCTTTCTGCCTGAGTTTGTAGACAACAGACATTCTGTCTTCTCCTTTTGCCTGTTGTGTGGGCATACAGTGTGGCAAGTGCTAGTGTCAGGGATGTTCTTAATCTGTGCAGTAGTGCCTTGATTTTATCTGAAACTTCTTGGTATAGCTAATAAATAATCAGTGAATAAAAATGATTTAAGGGCATGGAATAACAAGCAAAGTGGTGACCCTACCTGTTTGTTTGCTTTTTGAGAAGCTCCTGGCCTGCCACAGGAACTATCAGTAAATAAGGCCCTGCCATTGGAGTACACTCACTCCTTTCTTCTCCCCGTGACTGACGTTGAAGTCTTCTTTTCTTTCCCCTGGAGGGTGAGGGCAATCAAAAATATTCCTTCATGTTAAGGCAGCATGTGGGCCAGCTCTGGCTTCTGTGCCTATCTTTGCTTTTTGTAGCCACCTGCTAATCTGAAGTACCTCACCCTTAACTAGGAAGATCAAGTTTAACAGCCTCAGAGCCATTGGCAGGCAGAGTGGAGAATCCTTCAGGGCAGTTTGAGTGCTAGGTCCACTTCTTGGCACCTAGCACATAAGGCTGAGCTGACTGTAAATATGTAGGCACCCACCACACTGCTGTCCCAGTAGGGCCTTGGGGCAGAGAGCAGAATTTTGGGGATTTCCAAAGGCGGAAGAATATGAAGCACAAAAAATAGTTGTGTTCACAGCTTGCCATCCACCATCTCGCTTCCTTTATGCCATCTTCTCCTCTCTTTGTCAAGAGCAACACAGCATGAAAGGGGAGAAAGACGTGCTGAGGCTGCAGTAAACTCTTGGTGTCTCCTACCCCCTTTCCCCCCTTTCATCTTGTTTTGAGTGGAGCAGTGGATCACAGACTGTTATTAGGAAAAGGACCTTGCCATTGTAGACCCATCTCCCAGATTACCAACATCCCTTGCATCTGCACAACTGGGTAGGGAAATTAATAAGAACATGTTTTTCACGGAGAGATTTTTGGAGACACCTTCCTATCAAGATGTAGTATCTGATTATAAAATGGTTTCCTCCAAAGGGTGTATCTCCGAATCAACTCTCCCAAAATTTGGGGAAGGGCAGGGAGGAAGGGGAAAAGCAATGATTTCAAATGTCACTTAAATTGTTTGCAGGCTCAGACTAGCATGGGGGATGAGTGGAGGTTGTGCTGGGTGCCTGTTGCATTCAAATAAATTGCTCCTCTTCCCAGAGCCCCATCTCTTGTGTGCAGCCAAATCATGTGTGTTTGCAGGAGACAGTATGCTTGTGTTTCTCCCACAGCCCTGCTGGCTCATTAGTGTTATTTCTGGAGGTCTAGTTTCCACAGTAACAAGCAATTACCATTGTTCCTTGGACTGCCAAAGTTACCACCAGCAACGCAGAGGAAGATGCGTTATTCTCTATATTGGGATAAAATGCCTTCATATGGCTCGCTATTCACTGAATGCCAATCTTGACGCAGGTCCTGTGCAAATAGCACACTCCACCCCCTGCCAATGCTGCTTTTCCTGGTATTAAGACATGCCAAATTCTGAAACGATCCAGAATGATCTCCTCTGGTCTGTGGCTACACTGGCAACGACAGGGTCAGGATTTCAGCAGCAGGATGACTGTACCAATGGTAGCTCGGGTAGGAATATAAATAGAATAGCTTGGAGGCAGTTCTTTTTGCAATTGTGCTTAGCCCTGTTCTAAGTAATGCTGGCTAGTGACGTCAATGAAATATACTCTCTGTCTTTACCCTATAGCTTCTATTAGAACTGTGGTGGAGCTCCCACATAGGAGTCTGGTGGTCTTATGCTAGCAGGATCTATGTCTGTGTTGCGCAATCCTTCATCATCCCCAAGGGGCAATGTGTGTAGCATCAGCTCCACCCATTTCTTCCATCAGTGGTTTCTCCTTTCCCTTTTACCTATACCTCTCACACAGACTGATTCAGATAGAATGGCCTTTAAACCCCATAGAACATATCCTGAATTTCATGCACATATCAAAAGAGTAAGCAGCTGTGAAGCTGAAGGAATATGGGCTTTTGAAGGCTAGAGAAGTGGGGTACTGGAACACTGGGGCCACTGGATTAGGTTTCATGGCTTGGAGAGCTTTTATGGCTTTCCGTGATTCCAGTTTCCAAATGTGACTACATATTCTTAAAAGCTCTGGGGCCCCATTGTAAGCTCTGAGCTCCTCTTCACAGACTTTTCTTATGAATGGGTGTATCTATGGATCTACACATACACACCCACTTGCCCAAATGACTAATAGCAGGTTTGGGAGGGAGAACACAGCCTTTAGCCTCCATAAACCAAAGCATAAAGAGTCTTGCTCCAAGGAAGCTGAAGCAAAGAGATCAAGAGAGGCATTTTAAAACTGAGGAACTGCCTTTTGTGAAAGGTCTTGGGAAACACCTGCACTAGAGATTTTTAAAACCTGGACTTACCAGAGAAGGTAGAAGACAGAATCCTATCAGGTCACTGTATGAGTGTTAGGAGGGTGACAACAAATAAAAAGGGTGCTGCTTTGACAGCTACCAAAACTGTACTGCTTTAGATGCCCTTGAGGAAATAAAAATCCAACAGCAAACATACTGTCTTTCAGTGGGTTGAAGAAAGGGATAGGCAGAGACAATTAGTGATAGGGTCCTTGATTCTTTTTTCTAAATAAAGTCCCACCAAGTCTGTAAAATGAAGGTGGAAGAAGGAGTCAAACACAATTGGAAAAAAAGGGCGTGTATGTTCTATCCGTTCTAGAAGCCAGGTCTAATTTTTAAGTATCTCTTAATTAGTAGGACTGAAGTGTTAGAAAGTCATTCAGTTTTCTTGTGGGCTTACCACTGAGTGAAGGCATCATCAGAGAAAGGTTAAGAAAATACCCTTGGGCATATGGGAGTGATCCTACCTAATCCAGCAAGCTTCTCTTCTCCTCTTTTCTGTTGCATCCTCCTAAACCTTTGGATTTTAGCACAGTCTGTATGATGGGGAAAAATAAATAAATTTTAATAACCTTATTTTCCACACATAAACCAGAATCTGGTGTTTAGTTCTAGGTGACAGCTTGGGTGGTTCACAATGAGCCGAGGCTTGGCTTGGTATTTTAAGGAAAATATTCCCATCTCAAAAATAACCCAAGCCTTTGCTCCTTATTTGTGAGCTCCAGGGCACCCACTGGCATCCCACCCGTGCGGTGGGGTGGTGTGCCGAGCTGGCCGACAGACACTAGGTGGAAGCCTTGGGCTGCGGTTCCTTCGCAGCTGCTGACGGCAGGAAGAAGAGGACTTGTGCTTTCAGAAAGGAGATATTTTTCTTTTCTTCTTGCTTCCACATACTAGAAAGGGAACTCCAAGCTCTCCAGGTGCACAGTGGAGTGAACGGAGGAATGGAGGAGAAGTGTCAGTCTCATCCCGGGTCCTCCCTGCAACAGGATCTTGTGAGCAGGGCTTTGGTGGGAGCATTGAAGCCTTCTGAGTTCTTGGGTGTGGTTGGGTGGCAAGAATAATTTAATTTATCCTGATTTATTTTATCGTCCTTTATATATTCTGATGGGGATAATTTTGAGATCCCTGTGAATGCATAAAAAAGTATTAATATTGAGATGAAAGTGAGTACTGATGAGCTGATTTATCTTGCAACAAATGCTGGTAGAACTAGCTCCTATGAAGTGCATGCTGTATTTATGATGATTGCTTTTGACAAGGCCTCCAATCTTAAAACTATTCCAAATAGGGAGATTTAGAGTTAGTACAAAGAATGAATCACAGGTTAAGCGAGAACCAGATGAAACTTGAAATGTTCGTTTGAGAGAAATGTCAAAGTTTATGATTTTAAGGCTTCTTGTGACTTTTAGTGATAAAAATACTGTTTTCAGTGTATTCCTATGCAAGAAAAATTATGAACAAATCAATTAAGTACTTTTAGAAAAATAACTGCTTTTTTTTTTTTTTGAAAATCAGTTTAATTTTGGTACCACTTCACATATCAGTTGTAATGCAGAGTTAGGTTATGCCAAGTCAAGTCTCATATGAGGGCATGTTATGCAATCCTACCAGCAATATAGCATACCATGAATATAATAACTAAATATTCTGTTATATAATTTAGTACAGGTGATATTTTATTTTCAAAACAAGTGATTTTTCTACCAATGAATGTGTTTTCTATCAAAAGCGATAGCAGCTTTATTAGTCTGTGCTGAAACAATTTAGATTTTTACACTCTGAAACAGAAATGGGTACTAGTTCGGGATCAGTTGTTTTTAATATCCTAGAAACCTGATTCCATGCTAATGGCAGAATGGTGAACATATCAGTGTCTCTCATTATTAACTGAAGAATGTAAAAACAATACAAGCAGTAAAATATGGTAGTATTTTATCAGAAAATAAGAGGTTTGCTTTCAAAATTAGTATTTTAATTAGAAAGAAAATCTGGCATTTTTTTTCTTTAAGGGAAACTTTTCAATACTGAAATTTATATTTCAGCCTCCTTTTCCATAGGGATTTTTCATTTGTATTTATAATTTTTTGAAAAATGTTGATTTTATCAAAATGGTATTTTCTGGTTGAAGACTCTTTCGATTAAAATCTTATCACTAGTGTGAGCTGTTATGACGCTCTCCTCCTCCACCCTCTGAGCTATGGTAAAAGGGTGAGGGAAGTTATTGATTTATCTTTTTTTTTTTTTTTTTTTTTAGTGCAATGACTTCAAGAGCTCCATGGCTGTTCTGCAGACAGATGCACAATTGTGAAACATCAATATGGACTGCAAATCTCTACTGTCAGTCAGCTCCTCTTCCCCTCTGCATAACATAATCTCTATCTCCACAATGCCTGCACAGATACACACTTGCAAAGATGTTTTTCTGGCGATAGTGTGCATAGCAAACATTCCCTTACTTGTTCTCATCTCTAGCAACATTATATGGAGTTTCAGTTCACAGTTCACTGTGTTCGCCCTCCTACTACTGAAATGCAACCAACTCTGAGCTGCGGTTATTAAACATCACACGAGCAACACCCCAAAGCAGATTGTGAAAAGCAAAGGAATTTAGAGAAAAGTGACAAATTGAGTGAGATCTGCAAAGGTTGTCTGGAAAGTGATAACAAAGGATCATAGGGAATGAGTTAATCGTGATGCAGAATAGCCATTACCAGGACATGCAGGTGATACCAGCATGAGAGGGTGAGTTTTTGAGGGTGGCACAAAGAGATGCCACTAGGAGCAACCGGGTTTCAGCCAGGGAGACAAGCAGGTCAGCTTTCCTAACCACTGAGTTTTGTCAGACTGCTAGAGTCCCAAGGAAAGGGCTGCAGGCATCATTGCTTGAGGGTTTTAAAACTGGTCCTAGTTTCAAGACAGGATAAGGCACTATCAGGACAGATGAATAAAACAAGGTAGAGCAAGTAGCCGTACCTATCCCCCCTTTGTATGAGTCTGAGAAAACAGCTGGGAGAAAGATGGCAAGGTCTTAAGAAATCACACGTATAGAGTTAGGAAACTGTGAGAACTGGCTTGACAGTAGCTGTGACATGGCCAGGGAAGAGCTTCCAAAGACAGTACTCTTCTTTGACAACATGATGACCTTAGAGTGGGAAGATGTGCAATGAATCAGAGGAAAGAGAAATGTGTGTGAATGTATGTAGCTGTTTATGTGTGCATGTAGCACAACAGGAATTTCATTCAGATAGAATAAAACATTGTAGGTGTCTGTATCTTATTTTCCTTAGACTAAAGGCAGCAAGAGGGCACTTTGGCACAAAACCTGCACGTGAATTCTTGCTGCTTTAGGTAAAATCATGAGTGGGGAAGGTTGCCAGATGCTGTCACTGAGCATTCAATGGACAACTAAAAAGCAACTGCAAAAGTCTGTTCCCAACTCAAGTTGCATAGCAACACTAAATCGTCAGATTGCTGTTATGTCAGTCCCTTGCATTATCCCCATTATTACAGCCATTTTTAGGAATCACGCAGTATGATGTTACTAGCCCACTCCCAAGCTGGATATTTGACCTTTGTCTCTTGCTGAATGATGCCATGTAATTTGCTGCAAAGGTGTCTTGAAGTAGTACACTGGAGAGAAAAGTCCCTGAGACCTTAGGGAGCAAAGGATGTGCTTGTGCAGGATGGGACAGGAGAGACACGTTAGGGAACAACAATATCCTCAGAGAAATCTAGTGCCTGCCAAACTCCTCAGGATGTATGCTACCCCATCACTTCTCTGAAGTGAGTCTTCATTGATCCAATTGAAAGGCTATTTTGAGGAGTGAGCCACAGTTGCTCCTAAGATATGTGTTTCAAATGCTTCCAGTGCACACTTGTGCTTGGTGTTTGGATCACTCCTGTGGACATTATTGCTGTAAAATCTTAAGTTCCAGCCAGCTGTTTCTTGCTTTTCAAGGTAAGCATCTTGTGAGCTGTTTCCTGGTGGAGATGCTAAAGCACAAAAGTAGTCACAACATAATCATCCTGTGATTTTTCTGACACTTCCAGTATCTGAAACAATACCTAGAAGTCTGCTTGTCTTGTAGGATATTTCTAGTATCCTGCATAATTTTTTTCCTGGATGTCTTGTGTAGCACAGCATCCTCTTCCCTTTTTCACTCTATGGCTGCTTCTTTTGCTGGCATAAGATCCTGAAATGCCCTTGCCATCTCTATGCAGTCAGGGTCACTGAATACCAAGGTGTAGCTGGAGTTTGAAGGATGCAAATAAACTAAGTGATCTCCTTTTCTGCAAACATCAGACTAACATGGACTTAGGACACCAGGTAGAGTGAAAATTAACTTACAGGCCTCTTGCACTAGATGATGGGGAGAGGCCTGCTTAAGCAAGTAATTCTCAGTAATGTATCTCCTTTGTGAAGAGTGCCTGGTTGTAAACTATACTAGCATTTACAAGATCACCACTGCAAATTATGAACAAGCAAACAGACCTCAGAAGGACAAGGTAGACTGTCCCCTGTATATAGAGTAATGGAATTATTCTGCTTCATTAAAACAACTGATGAGAAAACAAAGAGCCTCAAGATTCAGTTCCTTTATGTTTCTGTGCCTAGAATGCAGAGTGCACTAATGGCAGAACACCTGGACTAGGAGCTGCAAGTCCCTCTTGCTTGATATTAAGGGGATTGAGCTCAGACAAGGCTTAACACAGCAGATGATAAATGTCCATGCATGACATCACTAAAAGAGATCTGATGGCCATGGAGTTACCCTTGACAAAGGAACATCTCTTGAATGCAAAATAGCTTAGCAATCCTTACAAAGAAGGAACAAAAGCTGTTTGTCTGATTTTTACCTTTCTTCCCTTTATTACTCCCATGAACAAGAACTGCTGGATGGGATACTCCAAAGAGCTTCTCCAGGAGAGAGTCTCCTCTTTTTCTGTATGTTAGATTTATCTTGCTTCCCCCTGAGGGCGAGGGATTTGAGATCATTAGTGAGACAGCAGGTGTGGGAGTGGTCACTGGTACACACCAGCTTTGTAGCTCAGTCATCCTGAGGCCCACCTTAAGGAAGGATTTATCCAAGGACCCTGCAGAACAAGTAAACTTTGATGCCCTGTAGTTGCTCCACATGTATTTGACAGCCCTGGTAGTTCAGTGGTCAGTACTGAATTTTAGGCCTTGTCAGCCAGACTGAAGAGTTTTGTGTCTCTTTGTTCCTTGCTGGCATGGACTGTCTGGAAGTACAGATACAAGAGACTTTTCCACGGGGCTGATTGATGTTTGATAATTGTTATGCCTTTCTTGTTTTAACTTGGACATCTAGTTTATGGTGGAGATAGAGCTGAGGGTCCCCACTGATGAATGAGAATTCTTTTATCAGACCTTATACTATAGTCAGACCTCTGGAAGATTTCTCTCCATATATCTCTATCAGTTTCAGTCTGTATGTGTTACTGAGTACCATCTTTGCAGTGCTTCAGCTTTATTTGACAATCTGAGTTTCCTATGGCTTTTTGAGGATAACATTTGCAGGTTAAAATGTGCTGAATAAGGACAAATGAGAAATGCAAAAGAAGTGAAAACAGTCAGGTTTTAAAGAAAATCATCTTTTGTCAGCATTGTTTGCATGTGTGCTCATTTCTTATAAACATTCAAAGGCTCAAGTTTCCTGTTGCTAGTATATGTGGAAAACAAATGTCAAGACTGCATATGAATACTTTCCATAAATTAATATTAAATGTGCAGACAGATTTCATCTCAAAGTGCTTGTACACTCCTCTTGCCAGAAAGCAGAATAAATAATGATCAAAATCACCACCTAGAGCTGGTGATTTCTATCTGTAGATATGAAAATGCTCTACAAGGAAGGTCAAGATCATAGCCTGCAATTTTACAAATGGGACACACTTCCTCAGTAAAGCTACTTGTCTGGTAGTCACAGAGCTTCCACCTCTCTACTGAACCTGCAGAGGCAAGTGCAGATGCACATTTGGTTATTTTCTCTTCCGTCCTTGACTGCCCCTTTTAAAAGAAGTCATTCACCCTTTCATTCATGGCTCAGGATGTGAGTCTGTCCATCACAGAATCAACTAGGTTAGAAAAGACCCCTGAGATCATCGAGTCCAACCTATGACTGAATGCCATAATGTCGACTAAGACCATGGCACTGAGTGCCACATCCAGTCTTTCCTTAAACACCGCCGGGGACGGTGACTCAACCACCTCCCTGGGCAGACCATTCCCATGTCCAATAACCCCTTCTGCGAAGAAATTCTTGCTAATGTCCAACCTAAACCTCCCCTGGTGCAGCTAAAGACTATGGCCTCTTGTCCTGTTGCTCATTGCCTGGGAGAAGAGACTGACCCCCATCTGGCTACAGCCTCCTTTCAGGGAGTTATAGAGACTGATGAGGTCTCTCCTGAGCTCTCCAGGCTAAGCTACACCTGCTCCCTTAGCTACTCCTTATAAGACTTGTACTCCAGACACTTCACCAGCCTTGTTGCTTTTCTCTGCACATGCTTCAGCACCTCAACAACCTTCCTAAACTTAGGGGCCCTGAAATGGACACGGTACTTGATGTGCGGCTGAACCAGTGCTATGTACAGGGGAAGAATCACCTCCCTAGTCCTGATGGCCATACTAGTCCTGGTACAGGTCAGAATCACCAGCCAGCACAGGCTGTCATCCATCCTGCCTGTGCATGTATGCTTACTGGCATATATTTTCTCTGTCTCTCTTCCAAGGAGGAACTTAAGGCCTTGCAAGTGTGCCTTGCTGCTTTCCTTCAGGTCACCTCTGTTTCTGCCTTCAGTGCCCCTCACTGCAAAGGATCTTTTCTCTCCTGCATCATTTTTGGGCTGGCCAGAGGCCTCCTTCAGCAAATTTTCTGGCAGAAGAGTCCTGATTGTGTGTTTGTGTATTCTGTATCTCTCCTAGTCTCCTTGTCCTGTTCTCAGGGCTCTCTCATCTTCCAGGGTGGTCAGAGGAAAATTTGTAGTTCTGAGTCCTCTCTGCTTTCTTTTGGGGGTTTTCATCCTGACAGTCCCCCAGACTGTGCAGAGATGCAGGAGGGTTATAAGGTGAGTGTGTTGTTTCACAGATTTCGATAATGGGTTTTACAAGGTTCCCTGGGAGGATGAGCTTGGTAGTGGCTTCAAGAAATGAAAATTAATCAGAAGGGACTTGATCAAAATGTCTAAAGTAACATGTATCAGAAGAGGTCTTGTTTGGAACACCTTTTCTTTGTGTCTTTCCAGAAACTAGCAAAGAGCAATTCAGAGAAAAATTGGAAAATATAGTACTCAGCTACTTCACACAGTGATAATTAAACTATGAGGCACATTGCTACTGCATGTTCTGGAGACCACAAACTAAAGTAAAAAATCCCAGTAGCTCTGTGGAATAAGCCACTTTCCAGATTCCTAGGAATTAAAATGTTTATTGAGCTACCCTGTACAACTTCTTTTCAAGGGCCCTGAGGACACCACCAGCCCCAACTGTACCTGCTCAGCATTTCCCGGGGCTCCTCCCACCGTGCCCAGGTCCCAGGATTCCAGCTGCCCAGCGCCTCTGCCCAGCGATTCTGTATCAGGGCTGCTCTCCAGCTCCAACAGCCCTGCCCTGCCTGCTCATTGTCTCGCTGCACCAGAGAGGTACCTGATGCTGAGGGATGAGTTTGCTCCTGGTACCCCCCAGATGCCCTGCTCCTCAGCTGGGCTGTAGGGATGTCTCTGGGGAGCTCCCAGCCTTCCTAGGGCCCTGGCACTTCTTACACAGTTTAGTGTGGACATTACTAGAGTGCTGGCTGCATCCTACCTACTCTATTTGTGTAATTTCTCTTAAGCCCTCTAAAGTATATACCATCACATACCATAGCCAGTAACATTTTTAAAGTGGATGATTCTCTCCTTATCTATAGCAAGTATTACTGCCTGCCAGGATATAGAACTTACTGCGAAGTCCGCAAATGCCATACTCGGACTAGTAAGTCATTTTACCAATGCTCTTCCTCTTAAGAGCGATCATTGTTAGAAATCATTGATCTTTTCCTTGTCCTCTTAGTCTGACAATATCACAGCTCCAAAATGGGAAGCCTTGCTGTGTGAGCAGAGATACACAGATCAATATTCCTTCTTATGGCAGCAAGTGAGAATGCGTGGTGTGAAGGTAGACTTCCTCAACCCTGTTAGCAAGAACAGCTTGCAGGCAAGCATCAAATGTCGTGGCAGTTGAAATGAAGGAAGTGAATATAGATGTTTATGGCAT